CATGCCCTTTAAATACTCTCTAGGGGCAAATCATATTATTGAGGCTCTCTGTGAGATAAGTTGAAGAATAATATGAGTAAATGGGTAATTAATTAGTGATGATTTATAGTAGAAAGTGGAAGATTCCTGTTGATACAAAGAAGCATGTTCATGATAGGTTGGAAGCAATGGCGAACAAATAGCAGAAGGGGAGTCGGGGAAAGGAAGCGATGCAGCAATCGAAAAAAGGAATTTGGAGCTGAGTAAAATAGTCGACAGAGAAGTTACAATAGGAAATTTCTTGGGTTATTTTTCTGGGGAGAAGGAGGTTTTGCCAAAATTGCCTTCAACCAATTTGAAAAAAAAAAAAAAGAAGGGAGAGAAAAAAAAAGAGAAGAAAGCAAAAAAGAAAAAGATGGAGTGAGGATGGGGGGAGGAGGACCAAGTCACAGTAGAAGACTGATTGCAATGTTTTGAGGTGAAGTAAGTTAAGAGGGGCAAGGATGAAACTGTTGAGTTGGAATATTAGGAGGGCTAAGGGAGAGAAATAGGAGGCTTCTGTTCAGCAACTTAATAAGAAAGCAGAAGCTTGATATAATTCTTCTGCAGGAAACAAAACTGGAATCATTTTATATGACTTTGATGAATGAGATGTGGGGAAGGGATGGAGGGGAGTGGTTGGAGTTGAATGTGGTGGGTTTGGCAGGAGGTTTGGTTATCTTGTGGAATCCAGGGGTTTTCAGGAAAGTAGGGGAGTGGACTGGAAATCATTCTGTTTCAGTGTGCTTGCATGAGATTAATGCGGAGTGACGAACATACATATATGGGCCAAATGTGGAGGAGGAGAGGGCGGTTTTTTGGGAGGATCTAAGGTGGGTAGGGCAGTTTTGGGAGGGACCATGGTGTTTGGGAGGAGAAAGGAGAGTCAGTGTAGGGATGAGGAGATTTGAGGCTTTCATCAATGAGCACGAGCTGCTGGATCTCCCCCTGAATGGGGGTAAATTCACCTGGTCGAACAGCCAATATCCAGCTATCCTTAGACAGCTGGACAGGTTTTTTCTTTCTAGAGAATGGGTTGATCAGCTGGGAGTTCTGGTTGAAGAACCACTTCAGATTTTCCTATCGGACCACAAACCCATTATTTTAAGAGAATTTGCAGAAGTCTCGGTCCAAAACCCTTCAGATTTGAGAACGTTTGGCTTCTTCAACATAACTTTGTGGCTTGGGTAGAAGAGAAGTGGATAGCTTTTCAGGTAGAGGGATCAGCTGGGTTAAGGGTGATGAGGAAGTTACAGCTGCTCAGAGAGGAATTGTAAGAAAGAAGGCAGGGAGAGTTAGGGAATGAGGAAAGTAGAAAGAAAGAGGTGTTGGAGAATAAATTTAATTACAAGGGTAGAGGTAGGTAGGAGAGGAAGTGGCTGGGGATTGGGAAAATATTCAAAGACTATCTGTGGACTTTTACAAAAAGTTCTATTCAGGTAGGCAGTGGTGTTGGATATCTTTGGGAGAGGTTGAATCAAAAGTTTTGAGTGAGACAGCAGCTGGATGGTTAGAGAAGGAGATAGAGGCAGAAGTAAGGGAGGCCTTAAAGAAAATAAATGGAGACAATGCTCCAGGTCCCAATAGTTTCAATTTTAATTTCACGGGCACTTTTTGGAGGATGACTTTCTGCAGATGAGTAAGGAGTTCTGTTAGATCAAATTGGTAGAAAGGAAAGCCAACGCAACCTTCATTACACTAATACAGAAGAAACCTGGGGCTGTGTCATAAAGGACTTTAGGCCAATGAGCTTAATTTGCAGCCCTTATAAACTCTTGGCCAAAGTGTTTTCAAATAGGCTGAGAAAAGTGCTCCACGAAGTAGTAGGGGAAACTCAAATGGCCTTCGTGGAGAGAATACAGATTCTAGATGGGGTGATGGTGGCAACTGAGTGCATAGACTCAAGATTGAGAAGTGGAAGACCCGGTCTAGTGTGCAAATTAGACATAGAGAAGGCTTATGATCATGTGGAGTGGGGATTCTTGGAAGAAATTCAAAGGCTGATGTGATTTGGAGAGAAATGGAGGGGTTGGATATTTGGGTGCATCTCTTCTGTATCACTTTCAGTGATCCTTAATGGGGTATCCTGAATCCTAAGAGTTCTTTCAAACCTCTAGGGGGCTGAGACAAGGGGATCCTCTATCCCCTTTTCTGTTTGCGTTGGTAATGGAAATTCTAAATCTGTTGCTAAGGAGGGGAGTTCAGCAGGGTTGGTTAGAAGGTTTTAGTGTCGGGTCAGAGGGGCCAAGCATTTCCCATTTACAATTTGCATTATTACACTCTCATTTTGCTAAATGCGAAGGAGGATCAAATCTGAATTTAAGAGAAATACTAGCCAATTTTGAGCTGATATCAGGTATGAGGGTGAATTTGGAGAAGAGTACTCTATATAGAGTTGGAGAGATTAGTGAGGAAGAGATGTCTCTATTTGCAGCAGCCCTGGATTGTAGGATAGGGGAGCTCCCCTTCTCCTACTTAGGCCTCCCAGTTGGGGCCAAATAGAGGTCAGCAAGTACATGGAAACCTCTAATAGAGAGGGTGGAGATGAGGCTGGAGAGATGGAAAGCAAGCTGTTTCTCATTTGGGGGCAGAACCACCCTCGTTAAAAGTGTGCTCTCAAGTCTGCCCACTTACTGCCTTTCACTGCTAAAAATACCAACTATTGTTGCCAACAAGATAGAAAAAATTCAAAGGGATTTTCTTTGGGAAGGGCCAAAGGGATCGAGAAAATTTCATCTAGTTAAGTGGGAGAAGGTGTGCAGGCCGAAAGCACTAGGGGGCTTGGGGTTCAGACTTCAGAAGAATAAGGAATTTTAACAAAGCACTCATGAGGAAATGGTTATGGAGGTTCGGGTTAGAAAAAGAAATGGAGTCTGTATGGAGAAGGGTGGTGGTAGGGAAGTATGGGGTGGGAGCCAAGGGCAGTATCAAATTCCTATGGGGTGAGTGTTTGGAAGGGCATAATGAACTTTAATCAGGATTTCAGAGGCTTGGTAAGTTTAAAGTGGGTGCTGGTTCTAGAGTGAGGTTTTGGGAGGATGATTGGAGTGGGTTGGGGAAGTTTTGTGAAATCTGTCCAAGATTGTACAGATTGGCTGATCATCAGATCTCAGTAGCCGAATGCTATGAAGTCAGAGATGACATGGTGATTTGGAGTCCTATGTTTGGAAGATCACTTTTTTATCAAGAGGTAGAGGAATGCATCCTTCTATTGGACAAGCTAGAAAAGTCCAATATCTCTATAACTTCTGAAGATGGACTGTAGTAGAAAGAGTGCAGAAATGGGAAGTTCACAGTGAAGTCTTTCTACATGGCTCTCATCAAGGACGATGTATCTACTGACCAGCTTGGTGGGATTTGGGGAAACCCAGTTCCTCTGAGAGTAGAAGCATTTGCTTGGCTGGCTGCTCTGGACAGTGTTCTCACAATGGATCACCTGAAAAGCAGAGGTTTTAGTCTGGCCAGCTATTGTTCCCTGTGCAAATCTGAAGAGGAAACTGCTTTCCACCTGTTTGTCTCTTGTCAACTAGGAAACTTTATTTGGAGATTTTATTTCTTCCTGTTTGGGGTACCCATCTTCCAACCTTCCTCAGCAGCTGAAATCTTCTCGGCCAAAGTTCAGAGGAAGCAAGAGAGCAAAAATTATTTGGAGCTGTATCCCCATTGCAGTGTGCCGGTCTCTGGGGGGAGAGGATCAAGAGGCTATTTGAAGGAAAAGAAAGAAACACTGAAGTGCTTGTGGCTTCAGTCAGCAAACTTGTTACTAATTGGGTTCTACCCCTTCAAGAGTTTGAGCATTTCAGCTATTCAGATTTTACAGATAATGTTTGGGACATTCTTGAGATTCAAGCTTGTAATGTGCACCCGTTCAGTCTTGTCTGAAATGTTTTTTGTTGTTTGCTCAATTGCTTGTATTGAGGTGTTTATGGATGCTTGCTTGTAATGGGGTGTCATCTTGACACCCAAACGGTATGTACCCGTTTCTATTTTAATAAAATTTTTCTTAAGGGACTGAATCAGAGGCATCTGGCTTATGAGAATCATTCTCGATCACTTCAGTGGAAGAACCATTTGTAACAGTTCTGGAAGAATTTATTGAACACATTTTGTTGGTAAGAAGGTTAGGTACACTTTCTTGGGAGGGATCCATGTGATTTCTTATAGGGACTGAACATAAATGGAAATCAAAAGAAGCAAGTACTTTCTCAAAGGAGGATTTAGGGGAGTTGGAGAAGGGCGAATTTTAAGGTAGGGTGTAGGCGGGTGGGGAGGCAAACTTGTCTTCTTCAGGATGACAGGGGTAATTGCAGTATAAGATATGAAAGGGCTCCCCCCCCCCCCCCTTTCTTTTTTTATCTTTATGAGTTAAATTGGTTGTAGCTTTATGTTTGTTTTTAATCTTAACACTTGAGGTTTTATTGGTTTTCAGCAAATGTTCTTTTTTAGTTTTTTGGTAAACAGTTTTCAGCAATGTTCTTCCAAAATTCTTCAATTGCTTTTCTGCTTGGTATGGAACCTAGATAGATCAGCTGCAATAGTGTAGTCTAAACATTCTTATTTTGCTTGAACTGGCTATATTTTGTTATTGTTGGTGTCAAGATGAATGATATAGCATACTGATTATGTGTATTTAATCAGCCTGCAATGATGACGTGTGATGAACTTCCAGTGGATTCCAGAAAAAGTTTTATGCATACTAAGACAATGAAGGCTGATAAATTAGAATTAATGATTGAGCTGCAAGCACCTAACTTGTATTTCTGAGTCTCTAAACTTGGACAAGTTTGTATTTTTACTTCTCCTACCAGAGAAATTTGATGCCTGCATTCTTTTGATGCTCTGATTGTTAGTATGTGGCCAGCAGACATTAAACTGAAAGACATGATATTCAATTTGATATCAAGTTGCTTCACTTTATCCCTGTAGCCTTGTTAATTAATGGTTGCTAAAGGAGCATTCTTTTTCTTTTGTCATTCAATCAGCTTGCAAAGATGACGTATGATGATTGTCCATCGGCCTGAGCAAAGTTTTATGTGCAAATTCCCTGCATTCTAAGACAGTGATGACTGATAAATTAGAAGCATTAAATGACCTGCAAATGATGTCTTTTCTTTTGATCATTCTACTTAAATGACAAATACCTGTTTTGATGGTATTCCTTTTACTAGTTAAGTTTGATGCCTGTGTTTTCTCTTCCCCTCCCCTGCAGTTATCCTGGCACCTATAGGCTATAAGAGATTACATGTAAAGGGCCTTCTGTCTTTCTATCTTGTCACTAGATGGTTCTGTAACTGGATATTTCTCTAATGACAATGATTAGTATAATGGCGATGAAATTTCTATGGTCATTGGTTTTGTTTAAAAAGCTAAAACAGGTTTGAGTCTGAGAGCAACCACTTTGTGCAGAAAAAAAAGCCAAAGCTTGGTGACTGTAACCAGTCCACCCCCCCCCCCCCCCCCCCCCCCCCCTAGATAGCTGGGATTGCCATTGGATAATTGCCTTTTGTAATTACTGTTATAAAGGTTCATTGGGTTTGTCTATTTTTTGTGCAATAATGGAATCAAATTGAACCAAAATATTTCTAATTCTTCATTCCATTGAAAGGGTTTCTTTGATCTTATGCATATTATTTGCTGATTGTGAGATACTGTCTCCATTGGTAAAGTAAGATGTGCACATTGGGAAATGTTTAGCTAGTGGTGATTTTGTGTAAGTTGGATGTATTGTCTGGGGTAAGGTCTCAGGTATTGCCATACATAGACACATGGTAGGCAAGCAGGGTATCACCTGCATTCGATGGGTCTTGTCTAAAAGATCAGATGGCCAAAAGCCAATACAATGGAAGAACATCAGACATTTAGTTTTTCTCTGGCATGGGAGAACTCTGATACAAGTCTTGTTTTTATTTAGAATAAACTTATCTAACAATACTTTGCATTTTTGTCTTAGAGAACTGCTAGGAAGAGCGGATCAATTGTGTTCTTATGTCATAACTTACTAGGTTGACTACTAGTGCCATGATTTTATGCTCAAAGACCGACACTTGGCAGCTTGTTCAGTCGTTTATTTTTTTACCCTTATAACACTTGAGCTGTATATTTGGTTCTCTGGAGCAGCTCCCTTTTCACAAATTCACATACCTTAGCTTGCACATGCTTGTTGGCAGGATGAACAACTCTTGCTAAATGAAAGTATAAAACTCAACTTCATTGTTCTTACTTTGTTATATGGACTTTTGCTTGTTTAGGGCTGTGATGACTTCTCGTTGGAAATTGAGGTTGGAGACTTGCAATATCACTTTTAATTTCCTTTTACATTGCAACAGAAATTTTCACATATATCTTAAACAAAATGGCAGTTGTTAATGCCATCTTTTTTTATGTCATAATGTCTTGCAGTCATCTCTCTACTGAATTCTTATTAGTTCCATACATATTTTCTTGTATTGTAGATGGATGAGTGTAGCTTGTTGCCTTCAGTGCATTGGTGGTAGTTCCATGGATTTCAATGGACATATAAAGCTCCTGATTGAGACTTCTTGATTTGGTGTGGTGTGGATTCAAGGTTGAAAGATATTTTCTGACCATTGTCTGATAAATCTTACAATAGAAAATCATGTCTTCCAAAAAAGAGAACCCTGGCTGTTGAGTTGCTTGTATCCTTTGAATCGGCTTCTTCACAATTACAACTGACAAGGTTTCAATAATTAAGGAGTATATGAAACAGCCATTTCTTTCGACTGGCAATTAGACATTATTGTGTCCTGTGTGCATAACTGTGTACTCATGGGTCCCAAATGCACAATTTGGACATCATAGAATCTTTGGACAACCAAAATATCCCAAGTGGGCCTATCTAGTTGCAAGTACCATTCAAAACAAACTTCTGATAATAAAAATCATCCAAAGGAGCAGGGTGCATTGTTTCATCCCCATGCTTCGGTCCTATGCTGAATGTTTGCTTGTACGATTATAATTTGCAGCTTTGGTATTCTGTCATTCCTGGGTCATAAGGATAGGGAAAACCTGAAGTATGACCTCCCTAAAAATAGATAATTTGATCATCCTACCAGGACGACTAGAATTTACATGCGCAATTTCTTTGGATGGGTTATGCTCAGGAATGCCAAAAAAACATTCACAACATTAAGCACTCTGGTCAACACAATCAGTGTGTCTGATCTGACTCGTAGACTTACCCGATTGTGTTGTCATGAAAAAGATCAATGGAGAATCTTGAATCGTGTGGCAGAACTGAAGAACCTGATTTGCGTTTCGAATCGCCATTGCCTTGCACCTGTCCTGTTCAACGTTAAAATTTGAGACTTGCCACCGAGTAGGACACACTAAAATATTTACTTTACCATCTGATTTGGGCATTAAGTAGAGATTATTGGTGAGGGATTTTAGTAAAATGTAAAAAGCACCAGCAGAAAGGGGCTGTCCCTACCTGCTCTTAATCCATGCATGGTAGAGCAGGCAGAGAGTGTTTACAGGACCTGCCCTTTAGGATGAACACGCCTCATCCTATCCACCCGCCCAGAAATATCTAAACTTAGGGCTTCAAAATGATATGTCTGAATTTGAATTTGACCGAGTTAAGGGTGATCTTAATTAAATCCTTTTTTATGATTGGACTGAAATTATTGAATATGAATCCATCCATATCTTATCCAATTTATATGCTCATGCAAGTTAAGATTTACATCGTGTGTATTAGTAAAATTGGTGTGAATGTTGTATTTTTATTAAAAAGAACAGATTTTCGTTTCATACAAGTAATTTAAAATTCATCTTTTTGTTTATCAAATCCATTTTTAGTTCATTTTATTAATGCTATTCAATGTTCCATTTGAATCTGAATATGATACAAACCTGATGGACAAAATTGCATCCAAATCAAAATATTAACGAATCAAAGGTGTATCTGATTCGGTCAGATCTGTTTGCAGTTTGCAACTCTGATAAATAAAAGACGAGCATGATTTTTTTTTCTTTTTTTGGTAGAAAAGCGATTCCATTGAAGAAAGAGAGAAAGCAACGTACCTAAAAATCAGCATTGTACAAATAACCAATCAAGTCATATTCTTCAAAGTTCACAGGGGGTTTAAAGTATTGATACTTATCAGACAATTGGTTTTTCAATTTACTAGATCATGTCACGGGTGGAATGGCCAAACTCCATCCCATTTCACTCCTCATCTTCTCTCACATCATTAGCTCCTACGTACTGCACAATTTGGGAAAACATATTTGGCTACTTTAAATGCTTTATATTCTATCTTAAATGTTATGATCTTAAACCATCTACTCAAAAAATAATAATAATAAAAAAAACCATCAATCCAAGTGTATTTGCACTGGAGTTTCTCAAAATGTGAAAACGGTTGAGCTATATAGAAAACTTATATCTAACCATTCTTATGCAGCTGCTGAATCAATCTATATTCTTCTCGCAACCTTGGATTTGCTATAAGTAGAAGTTTGTTAAGCCAACAGGGAATGTAGCCTCTTTAATGATTACCTGTTACAGAAATTTGTTTTAAAGATATTGAAAATCTAGTCATTTTTCCCAAATGAAAATGCAATCACTAGCAATTAGATGAAAGATTGGACGGCTTTTATCAATGCATCCCAAGCTAATTATTAAAGATTTTCCCTTCATACACATACACACACGCTCTAGTAGGGCCCCATGTGATGTACAAGAAAATCTGATATCAAAAAATCAAGGCTCAAAATATTGATGTCTGATACATTGGTACAATCCGTGGTTTTTTTTTTTTTTTTCAAATCTGGTTCAGGGGAACCAGTTTAAGATCCGGTCTGCCCACCTCTGAACCGGTTGAAACCCTGAAATACCTCTTATAGGGACATATCGGGAAGCTCCTGATACAATACATATTGGCCAATATGGCCCAATACATATCTATATTTTGAACTTGCAAATAATAAGATAAAAGGAATGAGATCAAATATAATATGCTTCTGAGGATCAAAGATATATGACCTGCCCTCACCAAGGCTCTCACCCACCCTACCCTGATTGTGGAGGTTTTTTTACCATTGATCAGATTCATGGTGGATTTCGAGGAAATCCAAAACTCTGCTGACTGAGGATAGGGTATAGGTAGTATTTGTCACTTGCCCTGATAAATATTGTGTATAATATGTTATTTTATATTATATATGTTCTATATTTTATATATAATATTATTATAATATAATACTTATTTAATAGCATTTATACTATTTAATATATCATTCTTACTGATTATAAGTTTTATTATGTATTAATTTAATGAGGATAAAACCATGCTGCCGAAAAGACATGCTAGAAGGGCTTTGACCAATCAAAACCCTTGAATTTGATGAAGAACCTCCTGATTGATTGCCACTTTTATGATATCGGTTGATTAATTACAATTTTTTTCTGATATAATAATTGACGATATTAAAATTACATTAATTGTATTATATATTTAGATTAATTTATTTATAAGTATCCAAAATTATTTTCAGTTTATTTCCTTTAAATTCGTCAGATTTAAGTGGAATGTTGTAAATACAGGATTTATCCATATCCTCATCAGATTAGACCAAATTTTGGGTTTTTGTTTAATAAGATACCTTGTATGCATGTACCTTGCGTTTATGTCAAGTGTTTTCACTACTTGTGAAGGCTTCTCCAAGTGTGAAAGTTTAAGAAGAAAAGGAGGAAAGCAGCGATTGTCACAGTGTCACCCATCACAAAGATACCATCTCCTTGAGGCACAATGAACAAAATAAAGTATCATTGATAACTCAAAACAGAATAAAACTAATGGTGCTACACTGTCACTTATTAAAGAGAGAGGGAGTTGGGGAAAGAAGATAAACAACGAAAAAAACCAAAATAATTAATTTTATTTAATAATAATTTTTTAATAAAATAATGAATTACTAATAAAACAAAAAAAAAGTCTAGCTCTTTCAACTAAAGTAATTTCAAGGGAAAGAAATAGGTGAGTTCCACTTAAAATTTCCATTTATTCACATCTAACCAAGAATAAAAATAAAATAATTACTTTTTAATAATTAATTATTTATAAATCATGAATAAAACAAAAAAAAAAAATCTACTCTTTCAACTTGGGTAATTTCAAGGGGAAAAATAATAGGTGGGTATTTATAAAATAAAAGAATCTACTCTTTAATTTATATGGTGTTTGGAAGCGTGAGCACTTTTTGGGACCGATTTTCAAGAAAAAATGCCATGCTTCCAAGACCTGTTTTTCACAAAAAAAAAAAATGCTTCTGCCACTAGGAAGTGAGCAACACTATGCTGTTTGGTAAAGTGATTTTCATC